TATACGAAGCACTTTCAAATTAAATAAAAAATACTCAATATAAAGGGTTTTTTTAAAAATAGGAACTCATATACAGATCACAGAGAGAGAAAGAGCTGATTAAAAGGAATGTAAGAGACAAAAGAAACATCAAAATGGTCGATTTTCAATTTTGCTGTTTTTTAAAAACATGCATTATAGATTCTTTTTTAAGATATCACTATCATTTCCCAGGACCCCTTCCCCTCCCAATAGAAACTGCTTTTTTAACAAAAGACAGTTAAGCAAAACAGATGAACTCATTTCTTATTTGGACCAACATACGCCACATTCTAACATATATATGTGTGTGTGTGTGTGTGTGTGTGTGTGTGTGTGTGTGTGTGTGTGTATTTTTTTTTTTTTGGCTAGGCAATGGGGTTAAATGACTTGCCCAGGATAACACAGCTAGTAATAAGGCCATATTTGAACTCAGGTCCTCCTGAATCCAGGGCTGGTACTCTATCCACTGAGCCACGTAGCTGCCCCTTTATATGTATACACACATATTATATCTATAACTATATATATAGATATATATACATTATATATGTATATATATATAATATATATATATATATATGTATTTAATATGCCACATTCCGTACCTGTAGTCCACCATGTTTCTGATGAGTAGAAGGAGATATGCAGCATAATAACGCTACTAACAATTACTGGCATTTTATAGTATTTTACAGTTTGCAAAGGACTTTCCAGACATCGTTTACCTGGAGCCTCAGAACAACACCATGAAAAGATTCCTAATTACAGATATTATCTTCATGTTACAGATATTTTCTTCATGTTACTTGAGGCTTGAAAAGGTTGAAACTTGCTCATCATCCTGCATATGTTAAGCATTGGGAGTAGGATTTAGGCCCAGGTCTTCCTGACCGCACACCCACCACTATATGACATCCTCCCCTTGGAGGTCTTCAGGCAGACAATGGACAACTACCATTGGGTCTACCAAAGCCAGGATTCCTTCCGTGTAGGGGTTGGACAACATGGCCACTGAGGTCCCTTCTATCTCTCCAACTCTGGGATTCTGGGACTTGATCCCAAGGCAGCCCATTCCACTTTGGGCCACCCCTGATTGTTCCAGCCTAAATTTCCCTCCTTGTAACTCCCATTCACTGTTCTGGTTCTGCAGAAAGAACAAGTCTCACCCTTCCCCCAATCACAATCAGCCATCATCTTTCTCCTCCTCCAATCTTCTCTTCCCTGGGGGCTAAAATATTCCCAATACTTTCAACAGATCCTTGGGTGATAAGGTTGTTTCTGACCCCAGAGGGCAGTATCAGGAGTTACAAGACTTTAGGCGTAACCCTGCCTAACAATTAAAGCTGTCCAAAGTGGAATGACCAGAATTGGACACTGTGCTCTAGACGTGGCATGACCAGAAGAGATGCCGCTTCACCTCTCCGGTCCTGTACTGTCCCAGTACTTGTGAAATTGCATCTTTGAACCCAAATGGGAGACCTTCTGTTTACTCCTATTGAATTTTAGCTCGACGCTCTAGTCAAGAGACATCGAAGTTAAAATAGAAATTGATCCCTTCTGAAATACCACAAATTAAAATTGTTATATTGCATTTTATTTATTTTGCTAACAATTGTCAGTTATATTTTAATCTGGTAGGGCTGCTCTAGGGCAATATGTTTGACACATCTGCTCTGGCTTGTCAAGGACTTTTACCCCCAGTGTGTTAGCTATTATCACTCTCTGCTTTGTGTCATCTGCAAATTTGATACACATGCGATCTGTTCCTTTATGGATAAAACACTAAACAGCACAGATCCCTTCGGCATCCTCTTGTCCAAAGCTGACAATGACATTAAGCCTGCCAATTAAATGGTTCCAATTCTGATTGTCTGAAGAGACCGATGTGGCTATGTAGGGGACTCACCCACCGACTTAGATTTTCTTTTTTTTATTGGTTTTTTTTTTTAGGCAGTTGGGGTTAAGTGACTTTTGCCCAGGGTCACACAGCTAGTAAGTGTCAAGTGTTTGGTGTGAGGCTGGATTTGAACTCAGGTCCTCCTGACTTCAGGGCCAGTGCTCTATCCACTGAGCCACCTAGCCAGCCCAAAACAACCGACAGATTTTCAAAGATAGGATCAGAGCAGACATGTCAAACTCACTGTGGGCCTGAACCAGACTAAAATGTAATTGGGAAATGTTTCACAAAATAACTAAGAATATAACATTTTTGTTATTGTTCATTCACGTCTGTCAGTTCTGACTCTTCGTGACACCATTTGGGGTTTTCTAGGCAAAGATACGGGAATGGTTTGTCATTTCCTTCTCTACAATATAATGTAATGTTAATGTGTGGTTTTCTAAGGTCACTAAGTAGCCCATGAGTTCTATTTGAGTTTGACACCATTGGCTTAGATTAGAAGACAGAAGCAAGGCCAGGGAGCAGATTATAAATTTATCTCGTGAATGAATCTGAACATAGAATCAGAAATGCTAAGGCTCAGGATGAACCAAGGATTCCTAATGAAGCTAAGGACGACAAAAATGGTGGTGGGCTTGTTGTATGTGGGTATCTTTTTAAGCTCAATCGTGGAGAAGAGGAAGATGGAGGAAGAGACAGGACGGCTGCTTGGGTGGATGGAACAGAGAAAAGGTATCACTGCGCCATTCTTACTAGAAGGGGAGGGCATGGGCATGAGTTCAGACTTAAGGCAACTAAAGAGTTAGTAAAAAAAAAATCACCCCTTGATGAATTCAAGTCACGTGGCTGGCTTTTCCTTGGGAGTGGAAGAACTGATAGTAGAGGTTGCTGAGTGACGTGTGAAGAGGATGGAGAGCGAGGGACAGAACCGGAGCTGGACAGGATCTCAGGGCTCATCCAGACCAAGCTGTAACTTCTTTTTAAATTCCACCTGTGATTTCACTCCTATATGAATGAGGACCATGCCTGCTGATGCACCTGCTGCACAACTTAGAGAGCTGCCTTCGGCCCTAGGAAATTAAATCATTTTCAAGGTGACAGCTCTCACCTGGACAAGAACGGTCTCAGAAGCAGCCAGGCAGCCCAAGACAATGCAATCCACTTCGGGATCGGTTTCATTGTCAGGGGAGCTCTTCATGGAAGGGGTTTTAACAGGGATTAAATTATCACTTGTCAGATCGGTTAAGAGCATCAGCTCTGGGCTGGACCAGGTGGTCCCTGAGGTCGCTCCCAACTCTGACATTTGGTGATCCTGAAATTTGTTTTTTTCTTTTTTCCATAAAAGCCTTAACCTTTAAAAAATCTCCCATAGAACATAATATCCAGAGGGTAGGTGATTGTTTTATTCCTTTGCCTAGCACAATGCCTTGCATATAGGATACATCTGATTTGTTTGTTGAACTCAACTTTTAAAGCCCTTGAAAGGGATGAGAAATCTCCTTTTAGATTTTCCAACATTTTTATCTGCTTTCCAACTTTCCCCCAATTAAAACCTGCTTTTCCTTAAGCACCAGCATTCAAAATAAATTTTAAAAAAGCATCATGTTGGGGTGTGTTTCCCACCTCTGGAACATCTTGTTGAGCTATGTCCAACTCTCTGTGACCCCATTCAGGATTTTCTTGGCAAAGATACTGGAATGATTTGCCATTTTCTTCTCCAGCTCATTTTATAGATGAGGAAACTGAGGCCAACAGGGTGAAGTGACTTTCCCAGAGTCACACAGCTAATAAGTGTTTGAGGCTGTATTTGAACTCAGGTCTTCCCTACTCCAGGCCTGGTGCTCCATCCACTGCATCACCTAGCTGCCCCTTAAATTTTCCTGTTCATTTTTTAAAATGACTGTGGTGTTATTCTGTGCTATTTTGCATTGAAAATGAATGGTATTTTAGTTACATTATGGGTTAAATAAGCTTCTGGGGAAGGATTTGGGAATCCAAGTGCCATTTCTAATATTGATTTTATGGAAAAATACCTTCCTGACTTCCAAAGTAACTGAGTCCCATATGAACTTTGGGAACACAACTATGTTGTTATGTATGCTGTTATTAGCTGAAAGAAGCGCAGATCACTGTACTAGAGATAAAAGGACATAAGTAGCAGAGAAAGAATTCAAATCCTGCCCTTCTGATCCCACTGCACCATCTGCTTCCCTCTGATGGTACAATAGCAATTTCTTTATCAACATTTTAGTTATATACTCAAAAATTTCTCAGCGATTCACACAAATCACCAAGGAGGAACAATTTCTTAAAAGATGATTTCATTATCGATGAGACATCTTTGAACACTCTTCAACATCTAATTAACAAGGCTGTTTTACAGTCACAAAGTGCAAAATCTGGTTTTATAGTGCCATTTATAAAGGTCTTTAGCAATCTGACAAAGTGGGAAATCCTTCAGTTTTATTTGATAATCCGTGAGGAGGTGGGTTACTTGATGCTGTCCATCTGGCTCTGGGAGGCCGACGTCCCAGAAGTAGGCAGCCTATTTACATTGCCAATTTTCACTGTGTCATGGAAATGTGGATGATCTACTGTGAAGACCCCCGTAATGGCTGCTGTTTCTCTCATCTGATTCTTGGTGTTGTCCAAAGAGGTCAAAAACAAGGGCTTCTGGAAGGTAGAGGCCTGCTTCTGTTCTGCCCCAATGTTTGCACTTTGTTCTGCCGTCCCCGTTACTGGGGCTTTTGACTCAAAAGCTGGGCTGGGAAACTTGTCAGTGTATTTGAGTGTGCTAGGGATCTGGGGCTTGCTTCTCAAATCTTGTATCCCAGGGACTGCTTTATCCATCTGAAATATTTTAGGAGACTCTCTGGTCAAAAGGTTATCCAGGTGAGTCATTCTTACAGTGTTGTGGATTGAGCTAAAGTTCTGAAGGTACTTTGAATGTCTGGCATTGGAAGAATACTGAAAGTGGGAAGAAGGTATTGGAGTCAGATATTCAGATTCCGGACTGACTCTATGGGCCAGAAAGTCACCACCAAGCACTTGGACTGATGGGGAATCTGTTTTCTTACAGGTCTCTTCTTTTATCAAGTTTTCTGCCCCCAAAGGCATCGTTCTAGCATCTGTTGGCCACTCATCCAAGAGAGTTCCCTTTGGCCAGAAAGCAGCAGTCAATGGATCACTAATTAAGGTTTTTATAATTTCATTGTTCTTTTTCAAAACAAGATTTGTTTTCCCACTGATTGGCTTGTCTATATTTTTCAGGTAATACCTGTTTCTGGTCAAAAGAAACATTTGTACATATCCCGGATCATGAAAAATTATGGGATTACTGCTACTTAGTATCTGTGGAATAAAAACAACAACAACAACACCCATTTAGATTTTCTTCTAGACATAAGCTGGCCATCTTATCTACAAATACGCAAATTCAGTTATTGCCATAAACTCCCAAATTAGAAATTGCTAGGCTGAGGTATCTAATGATATTCAATTACACACAGAATGTATCTCTGGTCAGGATAGCTTTCTCTTCTATCTGTTGTACCTCAACGCTGATTAAGTAAAAGTACAGATATTTTATAAACTAACCCAGTGTTTCTCAACCCTTTTGATCTCAGGGCACCTTTACACACTTAAAAAATTATTGAGGATCCTCCAAAAATCTTTTATTTATGTGGGTTACATTTATCAAGACTTATAGTATTAGAAATTACAATGTCTTAGTATTATTATGAAAATGCTTTTGACCTTCCAAACTCCCTGATATGGTCTTGAGTTCTCCCAGAGGCCCCTGGTCCACATTTTGAGAAATATTAGTCTAATCTTTTGAAATGATAGAATGGGGGATGGGGAGAGGCAACTTCAGTCTCCAAAAAAATCTCCCTGGAAGTAACTTTGAGAGAATATCCATAGGATGGACCATTGGTCCAACCTGGTAGGGTTTTTCTTGCAGTCTGAGGTTGTTATTCTCCAAACACAGTAGAAACACAGAAAATGGATCGAGTTGAAAGATTCCAGAAGGCCTTCATGGACGATGTCTGGATGAGGACTTGGTGATGTCATCACCAAGAGGATTCGTGTTTGGGTAGTGGTTGAATCAGATGATCTCTGAGGCACCTTCTTGCTATGGGGATCTGGGACCTTGATTCTGGGATCAGAGATCCTAGGAAACATTCTTGTGTTTGTTCAGTTATTCAGTTGTGTCTGACTTTTCATGACTCCATGGACTTGTCCATGGGGTTTTCTTTGTAAAGATGTTGTGGTAGTTTGCCATTTCCTTCCCCAGTGTGCCCCATTTTACATCTGAGGAACTGGGGCAAATAGAGATTGAGTGACTTGTCTAGGGTCACATAGCTAGTATCTGAGGCCAGATTTGAACTTGGGTCTTCCTGATTCCTAGTAAACATACAAGATTACAAACAGAGTTGTAGTATGGCTGGAACTATTTTCTCGGCCACTGACATTTAGGGGGCACCAAAAGCATCGTGTTGGGGTGTGTTTCCTACCTCTGGAAGCTGCATTTCAAGTGAGTTCCTCCACATCTAGGTCCACCCTCAGAAATGGCAGTCTTGCCTTAGGGCATCCCTTCCTTCCCTCCAGATCAGCTATACCTCTGGCCTTCCCTGCCCTTCATCTCTCCAGTAATAGCCAGTCACCAGCAGTGTAGACCCTCATAGCTATCCAGAGTGTCCTCTCTCACGGAGGCCACAACCCCATAGGTGCCCACTCTTCACTTTGCCCAAATCCAAAAATTCCTAGTTAAGGCTCTGATTAAAAACCAAATGTCCAAAGCCCATGATATTCTACTAAATGAATCAAAATTTAAGAGTAATCTCAATTGAATAGATCAAACCAAAGACAGTAGACGGAGCTAGAGACAGTGCAGCGTAATGGGTAGTGCTGGCCTAGGTAGTCAGGAACACCGAAGGTTCAAATCTTACCTCTTCTGCTTACTACCTGAATGACCACGGCAAGTTGTTTACATTGTCTGAGCCTCAGTTTCCTCATCTGTAAAATGAGGGGATTGGATGAGATGGCTTTTAAGGCCTCTTCCAGCTCCGAATCTATAATCCTATAAACCCAGTCCTTTTAGAAGAGAAGGCAAAATCCAGACACACTAGGCCTGCTTGACCATCTCCTTTGCTTTGGCAAGAAGGGCAGGCCTCGGGTTGACACCTACAACCAAATTTTGGGCCACCTGAAGCAAAGCATAAAGATCTAAAAGCAATTCCCAAGGGGCTGGTTATGAACAATCTACCAGCAACCTAGTGAGGTCATGGTCACCAGGATGTAATAAGGAATTCTCAGAGGCCTCCCTGGTCATCCATAGGTGATACGGCCATGTCACGTGTCAGGTTGTCCAGTGTATCCCACCTTCACCCTGACGGAAAGAGCCTTGAAGGACACACAGCTGGGCAGATCTTTGGACAGACAAACCTTGAACTGTGTGGCACAGCCTCGCTCACTGCCAGGTTCATATTTCTGATAGACAGAAGGGCAGGAGTTCTTGACCTGGGGGTCAAGAACTGTCATAAAAAAAGTGTTTTGGTAACTATTTCAATATCATTGATTTCCTTTGTAATCTTCTATATTTTATACATTTAAAAACATGTGCAGATATTGCGTTGGGTATGTGTGTGTTTATGTACACGTGTATGCACACGTGTATATATGTATATACTGTTTGTGTGTGTGTGTGCACACATGTGTTGGGTGTAGGGGAGAGAGAGGGAAATACTAAGACCCAAGCCACGGGGACATTCCCCTAGGCAGTATAATTGACGAGAGCGCCTGAAAAGCCTGGATGTGATCAGGGAGGGCAGCAGGGTATACTCAGGGCATGAGAGTCAACCACCTATTATATGTCAGGCTCCGTGCGGTGGTCTGGGGATACACAGGGAACGATATGAAAGAATCCCTGCTCTCAAGGAGCTTCTATTTTAACAAGAGAGACATCATGTGTATATACTATACAAGTACATATGTACATATGTGTATATACCTGGACACACATGTACATATAGATAGATAGATAGATAGATATAGACTTATAGTATACACATAAAATTAAATCAAGTCTATATAATTCTCTCTCTCTCTCTCTGTCTCTCATTTTTGTTTTTTGTGGTCTCAGACCTTTGCACAAAGCTGGCATGTATGAATAGGTGTCCTCCCTGTACATTGCTGGAAGATTAGCACCCAGGCCAGAGCCCGCCCCAGAGTCAAACACACCCATTTCCTGTGGGCCACATTAGACTAGGAGCTCCCCAGGCAAGCACTGTCTTTCACCTGTTTGTGTATCCCCAGCACTTGGTACAGTGCCTGGCACATACTGGGTGCTTACTGGATGTTTCTTGACTGACTGACTGGCTTTCTAATTGCCTGTAGACTTGCCAACATCCTTTCCATCTAATCCAGAAGCAGGAACAATGCTGCGCCTGCCATCCCCTCTCAGCCCCAGGGTGACCGGGAATGGCCGGGAAGATGCTCGTTTTTGTTACCGGGGAAGAAGCCTCTTGTTTTGGGTGATGGTGGCTGATGACCTTGGTGTTTGGCTTCCTCAGCTCATCCTGCACAGTCAGAGGGATCAAATGTGTTGTCTCATTCTCTAAATCACGTCGGGTGGGAAGGATGTACCTGAACGATCCTCTTCTCCCCAGAGAAGTAGCATCCTTTTGGGCGATCACTCTTTTCCTGTAAAGGATCAGAGGTTTAGCAAAAGTACATGTTGAGGGGATGTACTGGGTCAGCCCAAATGACTGAGGCCACAGTTATCACTTATGGAGTCCTACCATCTAATCCAATCCACAAACACTTTGTGAGTGTCCACTACAGCCAGCCATTACACTACGCCTGGGTAAGATGGAAGGAAACGAGCATTTATTAAGCACCTACTATGTGCCTAACACTCTGCTAAGCACTTTGTGGATATTTTCTCTTTGATCTTCATGACGACCTTCACAGGTAGGCGTTACTATGATCCCCATTTTGTAGTTGAAGAAACTGAGGCAGACGGAGGTTACGTGATTTTCCCAGAATCACACAGCCAGTAAGAGTGGGAGTCTGGATTTGACCTCAGGATTCAGCATTCCATCTACTATATCAGTTAGCTGCTTCTGTACACCTAGCTTCCGGGGAAAACAAGGCAAAAATGAAACAGTCCTGGCTGTTCTCAAGGAGTTTACTTACACTGTAGTGAATTCTGCATTCTATAAGTTATCTATCAGCCAACAGATAGTTACTGAGCACCTCCTCTGGCTAAAGCGCACTGAGCCAGGTGCCAGGAGGAATGGGAAGATGAGCAAACTGTGGTCCTTGCCCTCAAGAAGCTTCTATTCCAGCGTGCATCCAGTATTGTAATATGGTATAGGATGCAGGCAGTGTGGCAGCATCCAGTTCCAGGGGGCCCTGAATCAGGAAGATCATGGAGCCCCCAAAATGGATACAAGGCCCTAGCCAATGACCAACCAAAGCTGTCCTGAGAGGCAGGATCTGTCTGGAGCTCTGTCTCCTTGCGCAGAGTTATGGCCACAGGCACCAAAGATCTAAATCTGCAAATGACCTCACGGGTCATTGATTTCAATTATTTTTACAGATAAAGAAACTGAGGCCCAAGGGAATTTAGTGGCCTCCTTAGCATCAGAAATAGGATTTGAACTCAAGTCTTCTTACTCCGTAACTAATGTTTGAAAGAAAGGGGAAACCCTGTACCAAGCTGATGAGAGATTTGGAAAAAAAAAATCCTCTTTACCAATAGGCCATCCTATGATCCAACTTTCCCAGGTACCTTCTTTAATCAGAATGACCTGGCAGCAGGATAGACACTGACAGAGCCTTCTCAGACCTAACCAGGATGGCCTAAGACCTGAAACCTGGGCCCACTTTACCCACTTCTTTCTTAACTCTAGGTGGAAGGCTTAGGCAGAAATGGAGGCCCAAGTCTTGGAGGAAACTCCATCACTTACACAATCCTAGGGGCAGAAACATCTAATGAGCATTTAATAAGTAGTTACTATGTCAGTCAACCAACAAGCATTTATTAAGCACCTTCTGTGTGCCAAGCCCTAGAGATGCAAAGAAAAGACAATCCATGCTTTCATTCAAACAACTATGTACAAATGAGATATACCCAGAGCAGATGGACCGCATCCTTATAGGGCAAGACAACCGGAAGGACTAGGAAAGGCCTCCCACAGAACATGATCTTGGACCGAGCCTTAAAGAAAGCTAGAGTTCTTAGAGACGGAGGGAGGAGGCAGAGCTCACAGGTGCGAGGGATCCTAGCAAAGGCTGGATGGGGATACATGATAAATGGCAGCCAGGCCAAGGTGCCCAGACTGAAGAGTGCATGGATGGAAGCGTACCATAAGAGATGCAACAAAGGGTGCTGGACGAAATGATCTCTGAGGTCCCCTTCATCTTCAGATCTATGGTCCTACACACTCATGTTCCTGACACCGAGGAGTCACAGATTTTGGGTTCTGTTAATGGCCAACAATGATCTTGGCCCAGAGAGACAGCCAATAGTTGCTGTCTTTGAAGGGCTCTGACTGCTCTCTGGGATAATCTTATAAACTCAACTTACCCCATCTTTCTACCACCTCCTAAGGCATGGCTGTCCATTAGGGGCTGTCCTGTATGTTTCCTATACACCAAGATTTCTTCTTCTTCTCCTTGCCGACAATCTTGACAGCCAATCTGAGAATCATCTTGTTTTTTCACACCAGAGCGCTCCCAAGCTGAGGCCACAGTGACATAGTCAGGCTTTTCCAACTGAGAGATGGAGGGTGGTAAATCTCAATGTCTCCACCATCTTCCGAGACTCCAAAGCCCAAGCCAAGTACAGCTTGTGGCATCATTGTGATACATGAGCAATAGAAATGCCACAGGTTGATTCTATGTGTTACACCTCCATGACTGTGCCCTGACAACCCACTTTTCCATGTACATTTCCCATATGTGCAATTCCTCTGTATTCTCGTCGTCACCACCGATGATGTGTATACTTATTGGTGTTCGCCTCATCTTTAAAGGGGGTATGTTCTATTGCCAATTTCCTCGCTGTGCTTTTTCATCAAATGCCTTTGCTTTGAACTAATTGTGTCCTCTGGCTGACTAGAGAAAAAGTGAACACACATAGACAATTCAGAGGAAGGATAGGTGGGATTCCAATGGATTAAACTTTTATAGAGGTAGTCAACCCAAGAGGAATGAGAAATTCTTAAAAACTGTGAAGATAAAAAAACACTCCAAGGAGGAGGAAAAATCAAAATAATTTGAAGAGACATATGGATACATAGAAAATTCACCAACCAATGATGACAGACAAAAAGAAGAAAGCAGGGCTACTTGGCTCTCATTGGCTTCTCTTTTCTCTTCCAAGGAGAATGGCTTTACAATAGAAGAGAAGGAACAAATAGGGATAATAAGAACGTATTGGTATATCGCATTACAATATTCTATCATGTATTATATGAACAAAAACAGATAAGAAGGAATGAATAGCTACTGCAAATAACGAAAGCACTTTGGTGCCCTTGATAAAATCGCAACATTCAGCCAAGACAAACTATATCCTGGCATTCTGAAAGAACTGGCAGAGGGGACTGCAGAACCACTGACCATGCTGTGTTTTAAAGACATCGATTTAATGGCAAATGGGAGAGGCGCTTGGCCTAGAGAAGGGTGAATGCCATCCTGATTTGTAAAACAGGAAAAGAGAATAGGGTTTGAAAACTAGTGAACTCGATTTTGACCAGTGGTTTGGCTGGATATCACGCATGGTGGGTATCATTTCTGAGTGTGAGTGGAAGTGCCTTCCAACTCAAAAATCCTGAGACACTCGAAAGATCTCTCCTCCCCGTGGCCACCTGATGGCCTTTCAGATTCTTGAAGGCTGAATACGTATGGTGCTCCAGGAGGCTCCTGCAGCGGCTCCTAATAATATCATGAACTCAAGGCCCTTAACTCTCCTGGCTGCCCTCCTTTGGACAGATGACCAAGGTCCTGCAACCGTGGTGCCAGAACTGAGCCCCCTACTCTGAAGAAGGTCTGACCAGGGCAAAGTGCACCCCCTTGTTCTGGACACTCTGGCTTTGTTAATGAGGCCTAGCTAGCTAGGGGGCGCCATAGTGCATGGAGCACTGGACTTGGAATGGGGAAGACTCGTCTTCCTGAGTTCAAATCCAGCCTCAGACACTTACTAGCTGGGTGACCTTGGGCAAGCCACCTCCCCCTGTTTGCCTCAGTTTCCTCATCTGTAAAATGAACTGGAAAAGGAAATGTCAAACCAGTCCAGTATCTCTGCCAAGAAAACCCCAAATGGGGTCATGAAGAGTTGGACGTGACTGAAAAAAAACCTAACTCAATAACAACAGAAAAGGGTAACAGTTTTATCACAGTGCAGCTCACTGAGACCCTTTGGCATTTGAACTGTCACTCAGCTTGCTAAACGCTCCTCCCCACCTTGGGCAATCCACACATTGCTTTGGACTATGATTTCTGTTATGACAAAATATACGTAGGACAGATAATAACTTTACTGATGAGGTATTTTACGTGTTCATCTATTTTTCATTTTTTTGTTTCTGTTTGACTGATTCTTGCTCTCTCATAGAGACATTAGCTTCCATTTGTCCAATTCTAGTTTTTTAACAGATTATTTTCTTCTGTTAATTTTTGCCCTTCCTTCTTCAATTGTCCAATTGGGTTTTTTAGGGACTTTTTTTCTTCAGTGTATTTTTTTCCCAACTGGCCAATTGTATTTTTGAAGGACTCTTCTATCTCTCTCATTCGACTATCAAAATCCTTCTTGAGCTCTTCTAAGAAGGCTTTTTGGGCTTCAGACCAGTTCATATTCCCTTTTGTTGTTGCAGATGTGGGTTTGTTGACAATGTTGTCCTCTTCAGAATTTCTGTCTTCATCTTCACTCTTCTCGTAATATGAGTCTATGGTACGTTTCTTTTTTATTCATGGTGTTTCTTTATTCCCTGGCCTTTAAAGAGATTGAGCTCTCCTGCTGGGGCACAGAGGGTACTGACCCAAGCTTCTTGTGTTGGGAGCCTAGCTCTTGGTCACTGGCTTTGCCTTCTGGGGCCTCTTATGCTGGGAATTGGAGGCTGTATGTTTCTGGCAGCTTACCTTGTGTTGGGCTGGAATCAGCAAGGCTGGAACTTTCAGGCAATTCTAGGTTGCCTGCTTTTCCTTTCCTTTAGCTTTCTTCCGCTCCTTTTAGATGGCTGCTGCAGGATGTTTGTCTGCCTGGGGCCCCCTGCAGTGTTGTCTCCCTCTTTTCTGCTAATGCACCGGCAGATTCCTTTGTGGTGGAGTGCCGAGGCTCCTGGTGGTTTTCTGAGCTGGTTTCCACCTGCCCCCACTGAGGCATTCGGAGGTCCAGGTGTTGGTGTTTGTCTGCTCTACCACCTGGGCTTCAGGATTTCTTCACAATTGGAGGCTTCCTACAGCTCACCTGGTGTGTTGGGTTGGAATCAGCAAGGCCGGGGCTTTAGGAAGCCTTTAGGTTGTTTTCTTCACCTCCTTTCAGATGAATGCTGCAGGGTACTTATCCGCCTGGGGTCCCTTGTAGTTCTGCCTCCCTTATTTTTGCTGAGCACTGGGAGACCCGTTTGCTGGGCTGCTGCACTGCTGTTCCCAGTCTTTCTTCTAGTTCAGGTGTTCCAGGGATTTTTTCCTGG